TCAACTGAATCGATTGAAGCAAGCGATTGAGGAAAAACGGACGACCATGGGAACCAGACATAAGCCATTGCTCATGCACCAAGAAAATGCTCAGCCGTTTGTCGCACAAGTGGTCAAAACTTATCTCGATGGTACCGGATAGGAAGTGCTAATCAATTCGCTTTATAGCACGGAACTTGCATGCATGGTGCAGACTACCATTTTCCATCAAAAATTGGCTTGATACTTTCTTGGTCTCAACAGACGAGCAGTTATATTGGCTCAGAATGTATGCATTACCGGAAAAGTGGGAAAAAGGCATAGCTAGCGGTGGGGAATACTTTTAATCAGTTATGTATATTGCACCAAATTTGGTTTATTTTTTTTACGATAAATTGACCTCCAGCTCCAGAGAGTTTAAAGAACATGGAAAGACTTGTAAGGTGTAAAAATGTTTTGATAATTTTGGCATTTGTACAGCAGAACCGTTTGCCTGATAGACGCTGCAGCGGTCCGGAATTCATACGGATAATTCTAATCCTAGCTCCTCAGAGAAAACTCAATAGCCAAGCCTGTTTTCTACATAGCTTAGATACATCCACGTAAATATTTAATTCCTCCTTTCTACATGGCATAGTTGTTTTCCACTCTATTTTTGGCGTGATTTTCGTCTTAAAGAGCCCATAGAAGGTTGGTTCAAGGGCGGAGTAGTCGATTTCTTGAAAACAACTTGCAAGTTAAAACCGTGTGTGAAACTCTACCGAATGCTTTCGAAAAGTCGGTGTGTGTGGTATCGACGAAACAATCCGCGTGAAGACTGCAAGATTGAAGACAGCCGTGTTGCCAAAAATAAAATTTATCCCAGAAAAAACCAACTCCCTCGGCCTTGTTATCTCGCTGGCATTATTAATCTTCTTTTCCAGTCATCAATAAAAATACCCGATAACCGGGACATATTAAAGATCATAAATAATTAACAGGTTAACCCGAATTAAGCAATTTTTAAAAATTGTAGCAGAATAACCATCTGAATCCATTTGGTTTGAGGATTTCAGAGACATTATGCCTTTAAGAAAACCCTACATATCTATTTTGTAACTTAATTTATAGCAAGTAGACTTTTGAAGTCCATTATAACATATATAGTTAAGTATGTAGATAAGTACAAACACATAACGAATTTCCTCATTAAATTCATTCTTGCAGAAGAAGCCCTAGCCGAATTGGATGCCGCCGAAACGTCCGATTCCTCCAGCACAACGAAACCAAACATTGAACCCACTGTACGGATAAAGTGTTTGAGCGGTTCGATGTTGATAACAATCAAAGATGCGCCGCTAAACCATGAGACTGGCCTATTTAGTGGCATGATTTATCCAAAGGGACTGTCGAAAAATTCGACATGCCTCACTGAATATAGGTAAGTTGTGTTAAATTAAGCATGTAAGCCAGTTCATTGTAGTTAGGCAATATTAATAGCGCGAATTGCTAATTTTTTTATATAAATAAAATGTTTTTTTTTTTTTTTTTTTCTTTCAGGGATCATGAAGGTCCATTGAG